GGTTGGATGGGTATGGATAATTACCCATGGATAATTGTATATGTATATACATATATATAAAAAGGAAAGTAATTTATTAATATTATAGTAACTTTAGTATTAATAAATAATCTGATGTATATATTTTATATATTTATATAATAAGGATATACATATATTTTATACGTAACATGTTTTAAGTTACCTTTTTAATATTATGGTAACTTTAGTATAAATAAATAATCTGATGTATATATTTTATTTATTTAATGAGAATACAGATAGATTATATACGTAACATGTTTTAAGTTACCTTTTTAATATTATGGTAACTTTAGTATAAATAAATAATTTGATATATATATTTTATTTATTTAATGAGGATATAGATAGATTATATACGTAACATGTTTTAAGTTACCTTTTAATATTATGGCAACTTTAGTATTAATAAATAATCTAATGTATATATTTTATTTAATTAATAAGGATATATATAGATTATATACGTAACATATTTTAAATTACCTTTTTAATATTTTCATTTTTTTTATTTTTCTTTATTAAGTTGACTTGGATTAGGAAAAGGAATAGGATTATTATTTAGCCTATAAATACACAACTATAGGTTGAAAAAGGAGTGAAAATATATTACGTAATATATTCTAAAGAGAGAGAGTTAGAGAGAGAAGGAGAAAGAGGAAGGAATGAGGAGAAAACCCTTTAGAGAGAAGATCAAGGAAGAAGAAGTTTAACTTTCAATTCGAAAGTTTAAGGCAAGTTCTTCTTCTATCTCTTTCCCTTTGATTCGTGTTTCTGTACATGCCTAGGAAATTCCAGGATTTATTAAACACATAAAATTAAATAATTATGCATGTTTAATTGGATTAAAGCATAGGTTTTTATGAAATTGGTTCATATCTGTTCTTGTGTTATAAATTAAAAAATGCATGATTTTGATTTGATTTCTGGTGTGAATTTTTACATGTTTGAATTATGTATTTTTTCATATCTGTGGAATGATGGAACGTAGAAACATGCCTAGGATTCCTGAACATTAAATAGGGACTAGGTTTGTATTTAAATAAATTTAAATACACTCAATCATAACGATGCTTGCTATTTAAATGTTTAAACAAACGAATGATTTAATCTTTTAAAATGCTTTAGCAATTGAGATTAAATGTGTAGGATGAATTGGATATGGAGAATGCTTATTTGACGATATAATAAAATATCATCATGTATAAGATTCAGTCTGCATAGGATATATGATATAGGAAACTTAAATAAATAATAAGTCATTCATATTATGTGATAACTTGATATCATATTATCATAGTTATTTCTGGAATGTTTGATATATTTCTTTAATTATTACATCAATTGTTGGATTGTGTGGTTTAATGCACTGGTATGGGACGGTGGCATTTTAGGGACGGATTAACTTATCAGTTAAGTCCTACCTATTTTATATAAGGGAATGGATTAACTAAAATGTTAAGTCCTACTTATATTCAAGTCAGGTCAGTTGAACAAGTTGAATGGCTTATGAAGAATTAATTTATTATATAAGGGAATGGATTAACTAAAATGTTAAGTCCTACTTATATTCAAGTCAGGTCAGCTGAACAAGTTGACTGACTTATAGAGGATTAATTTATTTTATAAGGGAATGGATTAACTAAAATGTCAAGTCCTACTTATATTTAATTCAGGTCAGCTGAACAAGTTGAATGACTTATGGAGGATTAATTTATACTGGATAGGATGGTTACTAGATTATATATATATAAGTATGGTGCCATAATATGAGCTTGAGTCTCAGGATCAGTGGTTAGGGTGCATATATCGCCAGGGATGTGTAGCTAGATATAGTGTAGTTGTGTACACTGGTAGGTCTAGGTACTCATGCCCACTATATGTGCGTTTTGCATGTTGCCTACTATTCAGGTTGAGACAACCCTATAATCTAGTGAGGTTCCTTTAGTGTGTACATATATATATACGGAGTACTAGTTACTGTTGGATTGACTAGGATGTATACGTATATCGGATCTCTGCTTGGACTGTAGTAGAGTAGAACTTGTTTGTGGGCCTGACCCACCATTATTTTTCAGGTGCTCGTCACGAGTAGAGGTTGTTTGTACTGAGCGGGGATCAGTCTACTCCATTCTTCCGATGCTACATAGGAGTTCCTTTATGATTCAGTTTCCTGTTTTAGATTACTGTCATTTGTTTAGTTTGGATTTTCTATGGGTCCACACAGTATGGATTCCCAAGTTGTATTTTGGATGATCAGTTGTATCAGAAGAGTTTATTAATTAATGGAAATATATTATGAGGTTTATTATTAGATTATCATTTTAGTTTCTTGTCAGTATTTTATTTATTCTTCTTTATTCTTTTGTATTCTGTGTTCGTTTATTATCAATTTGTTTTGATATCCTCGGGTATTCGGGCGTGGGCCTGGCCAACCCGCATTCGAAAATCCGGGGGTATCACAGTATGGTTGAGCTAACCAGGCCAGATGCGATGCCTTGGATGTGCTTTATCATCGTAGATGGTTAGCCGATCCTCCTTTGGTTGAGCTAACTAGGCCGGATGCGACGCCCTGGAGGTATAGTTAGTTAACCCTCTCCTCGTGACGCCATAGAAGTGCTATGGGTCGGATTACATTAACGGTTTGGAAATTGAAATGGAAATATTTCGGAATGAGGAGCGACATTTGCACGACGTTGCATTTCATTGGTATTTTTGGCATAATTGTGATTTGGACGACATTTGTATTTATATTTGACATCGTGGTTATAGATTACTAGTATTGTTAGAGTGTTTCTCAAGTTCATCATAGTGCTTTATTTGAGGTGGATAAATTTTCAGTTGAGGTGGAGCTATGAAGAGATTTTTGTTCAAGGTGGAGCTATGGAGAAACACGTGAAGATAGATTTTTGAGCCAAGGTGGAGATAGTTAGGTTTGTGGCTCAAAATTTGTGCGCAGAAAATTAGTTTCTTTTTTTCATTTTGGAAGCTGCAAGAAATAGTTTCCTGATTGGTTTTGGAATCCATAAAACTTGGGGAAAAGGGTTAAAGATTTGGGAAATAAGTTATACCTCTATTTTAGAGTTGAAAATGGATATGATAACTCCTTATAGGTAAGTTAATCCTTGTCCAACAAGAAATTGGATTTGAGGAATACTTGTCCAACAAGAATTGAGTTTTGAAAACTTTATAAATAGAGATGGGTATGAGGGGTTTAGAGTGAGAGAGAGAGAGGAGAGAAAAGATGTAAGGGGTTTAAGGGTGAGTATTGTGAGGAGAGGGGAGAGTATATGTAATTCCCGAGTGTATACATGTAACCTCAAAAGAGATGACGAGTGAGTGAGTGGGGTTTTGACACGTGGTTGTATATTCTCTTTCTTGATTCATAATAGTGAAATCTCTCTCTCCCATGGACGTAACCCTAGAGTTGGGTGAACCATGTAAAATATTGTGTTGTGCGTGGATGTGTATGATTGTTATATTTTTATATGCTTGTGTTAATGTAATGTGATGATGCTTCCGCTGTGTGTGATGAAGGAGGAATTTAACTCTCAACAATAGCCGACCGTTGAGTGGGTTGTAGGGAGTTAATTATCCCCAACAGGTTTAGTATGATCCCGTTCTCTTAATTTCTATTCTATACGGGTTATAAGAAGTGTGTCTTAGACACTTCTTATTGAACTTATGCTCACCCCTTTATTATTAACATTTTCCAGGACACAGAAGGGAAGTGGCGGACGATGCTCCTCCATAGGGTTCGATAGGTTAGTGGACAGTTTTGAAATATTTTGTAACAATGATCTCATTTTATCAATATTGCTATTGCTATTTATTATTATTATTTTTTAAATCATAGGATGATACGTATATTATATATTGATGTAGGACAGCACGGTAGTGTCCTTAGTTGACATCGGGTTCAGATAAGGACCATGTTAGCGATTCGGACTCTCGGGTTCGGGTTGTTACAAAAGAGTTGAAGAGATGTTAATCATGTAAAAAGATCCAGAATCGATGCCAACACAAACCGGGAAAAACATGGCTAATTGAATGCCAAAATGAAATATTAACATTTATACGCGCACGCGGTAACTCAAGCTTTCCATAAGATTATCTCAAGTATTCTATATGATTGTTCTGTTTTTCCTAGTTGTTATGTTTTTAATTCATGTCGTATTATATTGTTTATTATTTTTATTGTATTGTTTAAATTTATGTCGTATCGTATTGTTTTTAATAATAAATATTATATTGTTTAAATTTTTTTATATTTATTTTATGATATAGCCGTTTTAAAAATATAGCCGTTAGGAAAAAGTTAAAAAATAAAATTTATTAAAAATTTTAAAAATATTAAAATATTAAAATTTTTGGAGAGCCAAAATGCACCATTGGAGTACATCCGATAGCAAAAAATTTAGAGATTCTAAAACGCTGACGTGACTGTGGAAAATGCTGACGTGGCTATAAAAAAATGCTGATGTGGTAAATTCGAAGAGCCTGAGTTCGAAAAGTCTATTGAAGATGCCCTTAGCAAACAAATTTTGGTAACTTACCTCTGCATCCATTTAAGTTTCATACCCGTTTCGTTCAAATTTGAACTAATATTTTCTTTAATTCTTTCAATAAAAATTTAAGAATTCATATTTAAAAATATAAAACAAACAAACGTACTTTTAAAATCAATTAACCAAACATTAACATACTTCTTGACAATAAAAATATTATTGTAAAGATAATTTTGTGTATATAACATAAGTCATCCCCTAAAATCATTAAATTGACCTCCAAAAATTGAAAAGAAAATAAAAGTTTGCAAAATCCCTACCTGTCACACATGTTGGTCCCACGATTGCAACTTGTTTGAACACGTATCAAATAGATTCCCAGCTGTCGTGTTCAGTCACTCTCTTATAAGTCACGTCACCAATAGACAAATGGAAGCAAATATACGGAGTATATATAAATATACGAGCAAGTGCATGACACGTGGGATACGAAAGCACGCGCTTCTCCTCTCACGCACTCATCGTCAAACCCTATCTCTTTCTCTCTCTCTCGTTCCTTCCGTGTGCCCTAATCTCTGCTCATCGACTATCAAATTCGTTGTCGTCTTCTCATGAAATTTAACGAATTGGCCCAACCTAGGGTTTATTCAATCTCGAAGCTCAATTGTATTTGATGATTTCTTCGATACATAGACCCTAGAATTCGCTCGATCCATGGAGGGCTCTGTGGAGGATCTCGGAGCCCCACCAGATTCATGGGAGGTGGCGGACCTGGACGCGACTATGAGCAGGCTCATGCTCTCATCTAAGAAGGACTCTTCTTCGAATGCATCGTCGTCTTCTCCTCCTGAGCTCGCCGATCTTTCAGCTTCGGCATCGGCTTCGGCTTCGTCGTCCCTGGCTAGTTTGGCTTCGGATGGCGGTGTCCCGGAGGATCTTGTCAATTCGGTGGATCAGTTCCTTCGTGAAGCTTTGCAAAACCCTCGCGAGCGGCTTTCCGGCAAGTTTCTGTTATTTCTATTAATTTTTGGGTTCTGTATTTGATTTGCTCTGTTAGTTTATTGTTTACTAGGAATTGTGAGGAATGCATCTTATTCTGTTTGCAAACTGTGGAACGGAGTTTGAATTATTTCATATGCTGGTTGTATATTAAGAATATTCTTTGCATAGTCGTGTTGTTTATATTATTCCATTTGTGATATTGCATTACTTACTAATTGTCTATAAAAACATCGGGAGTGTTATATGTTGACTGATATGAAAAAGTTATTAGATGCACAAAATTTAATTCAACCCAGGAGGGAAAATTGAAGTAATTGCAAATATACGACGATAAAATAATGGAATAATGGATAGAGGAAGGTTTTCATCTAGTAAACTTTTTGGGGGTGACACATCAAGATCAAGTATTTTAGGTACTTTCTTTCTGCCTTCTACATTATGGTGTCTCCACTTAAGCTTCATTTTCTCTGCCAAATTATCAATCTCTGCAAGTATGAGATTTTGCTTCTATGGCCTCCTATGAAAGCAATTTACATTCGCAGTTGCTTCCTAAACCTTAAGGTTTTAGGCCCCACTTAATTCAGAGGAAACTGTGATTCCTAGAGAAGATTAGTAATAATAAATACTTCCTCTTAATGACTTCAAATTGTATCACGTTCCCTAGTCTACTACCTTTTATCACTGCTTGATTGATAAGCTACAATCATTCAATAGGAAGAAGCTGCCTCCATTGCCGGAAAGTTATGATGGTGGCATGGCTTTGAAGGACTAGGATCAATGTAGGAGTTTTCAGATGATGGAACATCTTTCTGAATATACTTGCTATTGTTCTTTAAAAGAAACTAGAATTCTCTTGCACTCCTCCTTACTAAAATGTGAAAGATCTAGTATCTAGAATTACTTACCCTTTTTGGATCCCATCTAATGGAAAAATCTAGAATCGCATATATTTTTCAGCGGTTGAACTTGTATGAATGAAAAAGTAACATGTTTACAACTTTGGATCACTAAGTTAGTTTTGATTTAGTTCTTTTGCATCAATCCAAAAATTGCAACGATGTTATTTTTTAATTATCCATTCGGAAAATAAGTGTAAAGTATATGATTTTCATTTTAGTAAGGACGGTGAGAAATCATTTGTTTTTTAGAAAGAAAGAGCAAGTATACTAAGGAAGATAATACATCTAATGACTATTCCAGAGTTTACCACTGACGTAATGTTTTGTAAGTGAGTTTTTAGAAATTGATTTCTTTTCAATCAGGGATATTGATCAGGGATTATTGATGAAGATCAAGGTGGAACCCAGACAAACGTGCCACACATGATTCATTCCTATGGCATGCGTAGAAGCGAGAAATATAAATTTGTATTTCTTTCTCTAATTTAAGGAATTAGTTATTAATTTTATATTTGGTATTTATCTTTTGGTAACATCTATTTTTGATTACTTGGTAAGTCCATGGACGGTAGTTGGAATCGGCGGCTCTCCTAGGGTTCCCTCATCTAGGATTCCTGGGGAAGAGGATCAAGTTGGCCCTTGCGAACAACTTGATGCACTATCTCCCTTCAATCCTTTGAGCGAAATGCGGCAAAAGACGAGGTCAGAAAGAGCCGCGCAAATAACCATACGTATGTGCCAAAATTCGTTAAGTTAGAAAAGTCGATGAATCTTTATAACACTCAAAAATAAAGTAACTAATCAAAGCTAATGTTTAGCAGATAGCTTGTGTACTTTTATTGGGAGGACTAGCCTCTATTTATAATGGTTGAATCCTTCTAGGACTCGCATTGCTTGTCCTACAAGAATATCAATTACAGTATTTGTTTCCTTATAGTAGAGATTTACATAATATGGTTACCATGAATAACAATCCTTCTCCTAATCAAATTACAATTATGACGGGCTTTGCCCATGCGTACGGAGGTGGGTCCAAAGTTATTAGATCCGGATACTCTTAATGTGGCCCAATTTTCGGGCTTGTGCCCAAGTTGACTGTTGAATAGTCAATATAACCTTTGGTATCCCCCTTGTGCTGATATGTCAACTTATTATTGGTGGGGGAATATTTTCCCTCCACACCATAGGTGTATTTTCAGTAGCTCAGAGGTTAGAGCATTGGGTCAACGGCAGTAAAACCAAAACGACGACTCCATCTCCAAGCGGGAAACATAAATTGGAACTCGGGCTAGGCTGGATTTCATCCTTTTTCAATCTTTCTGAATGTTTTCGATAAAACCATCCGAAAGGAAGATTCCCTTCCCTTTTGCCTTTTCCGCTGATTGTGAACTTTTGATACTAGGATTGAGAGGGTGCAGCTAGGCCGCCAGAGAATCTTTAAGGTTGCCAGTTTTAGTTCCTATACTTTTTAGGGTTTCTTATTATTATTATTTTTATATATTTGCATCGGGAATGTCTATATAAGTCTCTAATACAATGAATAATTGTGGTTTTATTAGAGATTATTGAGTAGTTTCGTTTCTGAATTTCTCTCTCTTTCGTCTCTTTTCTATCCTTCCGCTTCTTCTTTGATGCATGACCATAAGACCATAAAGAAATGAGACAAGAATATGAAGATGAGATGAGGCTAGAAGAAAAGCGGAGAGAATAGACAATGGTGATGAAATTCAGGCTAAAGTTGAGGCTAGACAAACTGAAGGGTTGATAAGATCAAGAATAATGGAGGGAGAAGAACACGAGAGAATTTCGAAACTAAAATAATATTCCAATAATAAAAAATTGAATTGTTTCATTACATAGTGACCTGGTTGGTGGGGGCACCAGTAGGAAGGGGGATGACTTGCTGAATTTGCATAAAAAATTGCTAATAGATGGCCTTTATATAAGCAAAATATGAGGCAGACCATAAGAAATCTAATATTACCCCAAAAGGATTACATTATCCTCTCCTTTTTTTTAGAGTGTTGATTTCTTTTCCTTGGGGATGAAAATTCTTGACAAGACTCTAAGAGCATGAATGAATCCAAACATGAAGTGATGTGAGTTGACCTTACATGAGGTTTTATTATAACAACTTAATATTTGGGTAGTGTTTGGGGGTTTGAGTCATAAATTGAGATGGGTAACAATTCTTGGCACGAGTCTTCACTCTTAATACATGGTTAAAGTGAGACATGAATTGAGATGAGTTGCCTTAAATGAGTTTGTACCATTTGAGTTGATTAACTCAAAAATTCAGGTGCGTTAGGATTTTAAGTTTCAATGTGCTTATTGCAATTTGACTCCTCCATTTTGGCAATGCTAGGATGCCAATTGTAAAACTAAATTTAACTTGGTTAGGAGGCTTCTCTGGAAGAATTTTGGGAGTGATAGCGGTAGAGATCTTCTGTGATTAGATAGATTTTTAAATTTTAGCTTTTCTGGCTTTGTTTTTGCTTTTCTGTGGATATTCTGCTTCTACATCAGACTTCAGTTTGTTGACTTTGTTCACCCCCTCCTCTTGAATGATGGTATTCTGATAGTTAAAAGAACATTTGACTTGTTCAAATTGTCAATCTGACGACTGACCTAATTCCAAGATGGACTAGGACTCTTCTAAACCTGAACTTTTTGACAAAAAATTGTTGATCCAGACTTTTTAAATTCTGATTGGGTAGAGGTTGGACACTGATGAAATCTTATCCAATTGTAAATCTTCTTGAGGTCTTTTATTGTGGGAAAGAGATGTTTTTTTTCTTTCTACTTTTCATTTTTACTGTTCTTGGGAATTATGTCATTGTATTTGGATACGCATGTACATGTGCTTGTTATTGTACTCAGGAGCCCATGGAATTTGTCATAACATTGTCAATTTCGTTAAGTGCAGTTCACTAACCTGTAAGAGTTCCTGTCATCATCTTCTTTCGTCATTAACACTATCATGATCAATCAAAATTGTTACTGCTAGAATATCTTAACTAAGATGCAAATGTGTATTGCTGTAAAGCATCTGATGAGCTTTTTTTTTACTCTCTCTTTTCATACAAATGTAAATTTTAAATTTTTGGTCGTTCAGTTCTACGGATGGAGCAAGATGTTGAGAAGTTCATTCGGGATCCTACTCAACAACAATTGGAGTTCCAGCAGCTGCCTACTTCCTATCTGCGGTTGGCTGCACACCGCGTAGCCCAACACTATTCGCTGCAGTCCATGGTTTTACTGGACAGTAATTTCCCTGATGGTTCTGGTTCTAGAATTATTGTCCGCAAGACTTCTGATTATCGACTCCCTTTGATTCGTCTGGCTGACATTCCTGTAAACTTACCGACGGAAGAGAGTGGTGCTGTTAAGGTTGCAATTAAACAAAGGCCGCAGAAAAGGTCACAGATTGTCATCAATTCAAATGCACAATCCTCGAAGTCCAATAGTTCTAAGAGTGTGGAGGAAAGAAAAGAGGAATACAACAGGGCTCGTGCACGGATATTTAACTCTAGCACTGGTAGTTTTAGTGGAGGTGCTATTGGGAAACTGGAAAGTGAACCAAGGACGCAGGATAGTTTTCAGCATGGTTCGTTGGGTATATCAAAGATGGAAGAGAAACCTGTTCCAGGAGGACCTGATGTGAATATTGGCAGGGGTTTGATTGATTCTTCAGCAGGTAGCAGTAGATCAGCTAGAAGTAGGACAGAGAAGGAGCCAGTTCCAGTTCCGGTTCCAGTTGGTAGGTTTAGAACAAATAATAGGGCCATCTTTCGGGATCGTGAAGTTGACCGCAAGGATCCTGATTATGACCGGAACTATGACAGGTATGCTGTTTGTTCCTCTCTCTCTCAACCACCCCAACCCCCACCCCCCCCCCCCCCCCCCCCCCCCCCACACACACACACACAGACCCCCCAAAAAAGTATAGAATAATATTCTTTTAGAATGATATACATTTTTTCCCCTTCTGAGAAGAATACAATATCCATATTATCTTGGACAATGAAGGCTTAAAACTTTACCGTCTTTCTTTCATATTGGCATGTCATTATTTTGTCATTAGGGATGGTAAGAGGCCACGGTCCTTTAATTGTTATGTTGTGACCAATCTTGGCTTATTGTTTATGCATGGTCTAAAAATCCAATTTATTTAACTTTTAATCGCATTCTCCTAAAGAATTCCGTTTTTTTACATTTCCTATGGTTGGCTGTCTATCTAAATTTGCTGGCCATTCCTATTGGTTATAGATTTTGGGTCTGTAATTTTGCTACCACTGGAGACATATTCAGATCATAGTTTGGTGGCTCTCCACTCTCGCTCCTGGGATATGCCTATCCCAATACAGGGATGGGCCATACAGCTTCCCCTCACTGTGGTGTGAATATCATTTCTCTTCTAATAGTAATGCTCAAACATTTCTGAATTCACTCTTTTGCTGGTAATGTCATGTTTTTCCATATTTCTGGAAGAACTACTGGCTATAGTAGATGCAAATAAAGGCCAGCTTTTCCTGCTTTGTTTTAAACCTAAATTTTTTGGCTATCCATAAAAGGGTCAAGTTCGTGGTTTTGGATATACTGATGGACAGTCCATTCCTCCATAAAAAAAAAAAATAAAAACTCAATTATTGAATAAAAATCTTAAAGGACAACACATGCTAAAATGGAAAGTATATGACGCATATTCAGTTATTCACAATTTCACATAATCTTACCTTTTTTAGTTCTTTTCCAATTTTTTTTTTTTTGTAAATGTACGGATGCTTGTTCATATATGTACTATTTGCTGTTCTAATGTTTTGAAATTGCCTGTCAGATCCTTCTGAAATTGAAAATTTTGTATTTGTAGTGATTGCGATACTGAGTAACTCAACAATAGTGAACGTTATTTATTGTTTATATTAGTAAACTGAAAGTAATGATATATAAATTATATTATGCTTTTCCCCCAGATATATGCAAAGATTTGATCCTGGGTTTGGGTTTAATGGAGGACCGTACAGCATTCAACCTATGTACTCACCAGCATTGAACTATAACACTGAATTCCCGCAGCTTGGAACAGTTCATAGGCCCCCAATTTCTACTGAACACCAACCTAGGCCACTCCCTCAACATCTACCGGGGCCATGGCCTGCGCCATCGACTCCCGCAGGTATTGGGTATGGTCATCCAGATACCATGATGACACCATTTAGTCCCAATCATGTTGGTGCACACTCCACTTCTGCTCTATACTTGCACACTCCTCAGTATCCTTGTCATCGCCCTGGAATGCCTTTCATGCATCCTCATGAACAAGTTCACCAACCTTTTCCACAGGTATGGTAATTGTCTTGGCTTTCTTTAGAGCTCCCTTTTCTGAATTTTTTTTTACTTTTTATTATCATATAGAACATACGTCCTTACCAACTTTTTACACACTAGATGCCTTTTATGTAATTGAGAAGAGGGACGATGTAAAGCTAAATTTCTACTAATTAGAGACAACTATCAGTGATAGGGTCCTGATAATCTACTAATTAGAGACAACTATTAGTGATGAGCTAAAAAAATGGAATGCATTATTGGTGCACGCAGATCGGTTTGGTTCGGTTAGAGGGTAAATTAGAACCAAACTAAATTCTAACGGTTCCATTAAAAGTTGGAACTACACTAAACCAATCGAACTGCTTAAACTGAACCATTCAGAACCGTACAAGAATGGTTTGTATGGGTTTGATTTTTTTGATTAAGGTTATATATAGTATAATGTCAACTACATTAATTAGCGGAAATCAGATCTTATTTGTCCCAATTTTATGTGACGTAGATAAATTTTCCTCTATTACGTATTCAAGAGTGCATTTGTAGTTTCTAAAATCATTTAAGAACACAGCATTAATGTAATATTGTAACAAGAATTAGAACATACCTTAATTGATATATTTATGTAAATGAGAGTTAACTTTTGAAAAAGACTATATCTAGCTTTGGTTTTGTAATCCAAGCCTAAGATAACAAAGTCTTACTGACCCAATCAAATCAAAACAAATATATATATGTGTGTATGTGTGCGCATGCATGCGTGTATTAATAAATTTCATGGCTTGGCTCAATTTTTTATTTATTTTTCCCCTTAAGTCGAGAACTAAATTGATCTTGAACCAATATTTTTAAAACCAGAACCAAACTGTTGAATTGGATCGATGGATGGTTTGAATGGTTTCATGTGCACTGCTTGTATGCATTGATTATGTTGTATGTATCATCTTGTAAAACATTGTACAAAAAAGTTCGATATAGAAATTACTCTCCCTCTGTATTTAGATGGCATTTTATTTGTTTTATAAAAATTAATGAATATACACATGTACTGAACAAATATGCATGTTACATTTCAAGTCCTTGGCTCCATACTATTCTTTTAGATTCTGAATTACTTCCGACAACTGTTATTTTATTGCACGTCTCCATGCAGTCTCATCAGCAGCAACCTGACACAAGTTTTGGTTTAGCCCGGCCCCGATAAGGGGCGTGGGCCGTGCCTGCATCCTGCCAGTGCGATTTTGAAATGTAAGGAGGTTAAGAGGCACATGATAACTCCCACCGGCAAGGATGCAGGCATAAACAACCGAGGTGGGGCGGAGTGGACATATCAGTCTTGCATTAATCCTCAGACCCCGCACGAACCTCGGTTTCACTCGGCGCTTCTCGCACATTTGATGAAGCCCATTAGTCTCGGCAATTCAACACTTTAGACGAGCTCCCTGAGATCTCTGATTTGCCACTGATGATGATGACGATGAACAATGGAAGTAGAAAAAGAATTTACCAGAGCTGGGAATACATCTTCTTCCTTCGGAGAAGGTATCTCTCAATCTTTTTGTTATTTTATTTATTCATTTTCTTCTTTCTGAAATAATTGTCTCTTCATAGTTTCTCTGTTTTTTTTTTTTTCGGTTCTTTTCCAAAATTTGAGTACAGTTAATATGCATTACTGGTCCTTTTACAGCACCATAAAGCGTCAAAGGAAATATGGATTGGAGAATATTTGAGAATGAGGTGGTGGCCATTCATTCGCTCTTTTGGCTGTGGAAAACGTTGGTGCAGGACGGAAGTTCATGTTTTAACAGAGCTTTGATAATCTGTGGTTTCTTATCTACTGAAACATTTGTCTAGAAAAATAAAATAGTAAATTACTTGATGTACCATACAAATACTTGCTGGTTTATATCTAATTTGTCACTGTAGCAGTTCGTTTGGATGAAGTACTAATGCATTCCAAGGTTTTGAGAATGATTTGCATGAGAAGAGTAATCAAGATTAACCTTAAATGGTCTTCTGGACCAGACAGGTTATGATTTTGTGGGAATTCATGTATGCATTTGAGCGTGCATGAACATCTGCATGTCTAAGCTTTGCCTGTGTTTGGTAGGTCATCAACCTAAGCTTTCCATATTGTACCGTGAATTGCCAGTTTGTGTATGAATAAGATGTAATCGTTAATGGGAGACGATAAATAAATAAGTTAGATTGATAGGTTGTTCATTCAACTGACTGGATGGAGTAGGTTTGCAGACACAAAAAAAAATAAAAAAATAAAATAAAAGAACTTGAAGAAAATGGAACGAGAGAGGAAGCAACCATCTCCGTAGTGTTTTTTTGTCTCTCTATATATATGTATATATATATATGTGAGCATAAGGGTATTGTTGTAAATTTATTCCATACCCGAATTTACACGGGTTTTCCCTGCCCGGGTTTAACTTCTTCAAACCTGTTGTTGGGATGGGTTGAACACAGGGACGATCTAGGAAGTTGTGCGGATAGTACAAGTGAATTTAGTGTATTTATTTTATTTTATTTTATTATTATTATTTTTTTTAAAGAAGTAAGGTGAAAATTTTATAAGTATATAATTAAAAATAAGAAAAAATAGTAGAATATAATAGTTAAATTTCAGTGGGGCAATTGGCTATAAATGGCTCCGTCCCTCTTTTTAGCCACACGGCATGCCCCTCTTGTAACAGTTGAAAATAGTGTTTTGGCATGTCTCATGTGAGTCAATAATCATGACTTGAATCAAATTATTATCGTGTGAGTTTTTTGCTAAGGCAAGGAAAAAAAACAAACAATAAATTATTTGAATTTGGTATGAAATGAACATAAAATCCTTGCTTTTCCTTCAGCTGTCTCCCGTGTTACGGCCTTGCAAAAATGTTTACGCTGGCAGAAGCTGCAGCATTTCTCTCTCTCTCTCTCTCTCTCTCTCTCTCCCCATGTACGTTAACATTCCCACTGCCCCCTGTTTTTTCCCACAATTAATCTTGAATTCGTTTAGTAGCTTCTTAATCCAACACACAGGCAAATTCCACGTGCATCTCTCTCTTTCTCTCTCTATACTCGACGGTTAAAGGTCGATTAATTGGCAATTTCATGATTGTCTTTTTCAGTGGATTCACGTTGTTTCAGTGCCCACTTCTTGTTCTCTACTATTACACGTATCTACTTATCCATATATGCATATACATCTTTCTCTATAAATACATACATACAGAGTACAAACAGACCATAAATCACATACCTCATTGACGAGCTTCGCTAGCTTCTCGATCCTCTCTGCTTCCTATAGATTGAAGGTAATTAAACAAGTTCACAATTCTCAACTTTCAGTTACTAGGAAGATGTATTGATGCTGTGCGTGCCATCTTTCTCTCTCTCTCTCTCTCATGCAGCTCTTCTTGATTAGACTAGTATTAATTTCACACACACACACTCACTCACACATGAAGAGAGAACTTACAATCACTTCACTCATACTCAATTGACAGCTTGATTTTTTTTATTTCTTGTGTTTGGTTTCAGGATCAATATATATATATAGAAAAGTTGATAATTTGATATGGAGAAGATGAACACAAAACTGTACATAGAGAACTGCCAGATTATGCAGGAAAACGAGAGGCTAAGGAAGCAAGCTCAACTGCTGGACCAGGAGAATCAAGCTCTTCTGTACCAGCTCAAGCAGAAACTCGCCGAAGCCGAATCGGCTTCAAATCACGTCAACCTCAGCTCCACTACTTGTACTGCTTCAAAGCCAATGAAGAATTCCAGTAAACCATGTTCACATATGTGAATTTATTTAGCTACTTAAAACACCTCCTCTTGTTCTGTGCAATACAAAACAATCAATGGGTCATTAAAGGGTTATGATTATTCTGTTCTGTGTAATACTATATATATATATATATATATATATATATTAATTCAAGTTTATGATATCGTTTGTTCCACCGTGGTTTTGTAAATTGTTACCAACCCATGAGACCATCTTTCTGTAAGCTTCAACTCTGAAGGGAAAATCTAAGTTATGAATTACATACATGTATGAGGATTGAGGAACAAAAAAGTGTGCGTATATATAAAGTATCTTTAATTTACACCATTTCTCTCACTAGATCTCCCCCTCTCTTCAAATATATGAGCATCTGCAATGGGTATACAGGGCCGGCAGGCAAGCCAGACAGACGGTTACCAAGGCCTCCAAATTTTAAAATTTTCTATTATATTATAATTATATGCTAATATTATTAAAAAACTAATCAAGGGCATCAAAAATTTATAGCCTAAAATAATTTTTATTTTTTTTCTTTTCTCTCCTCACCTTCTCATTCACATTTTTTAATTAAATTCTAACTAATATAGAAATATTAAGTTCCAAAGATTTATATCTTTAAATGACTCTTTTTTTTTTTTTTTTTTTCCTATCTATCTCCTCTCTCTCCTTGTGGTCCCGAAGATTTATATTCACTTTTTTTTTTTTTTCAAAATTTTTACAACAACATTAATTTTTTTTGGTAAGTTATACTCGCACTAAATATTAAAGGACAATATGAGCGACGCGATGTGAGACGCCCATGCAGACGTGCCTTCGGCCAGATAGCTTTGAATACAAGTTATACCCGAAGCCATCCGGTCGAGGGCACGTCTGCTTAGGTGTCTCACATCGTGTTGCCCCTCGCACATATTGTGTGATGGGGGCGGACAATGGCCCCCGTGCACTGCCAATTCGCGGTCGGCCCAAAAAACCAGTCGTCGGGGACGTCAGTCAAGACAAGTGGTGGATGAGAAAATAAAAACTCTCGAGTGTCACATCTCCAATTGTTGCGTATATATTTTTGTGTAAATCTGATGTGTCAAAGTAGATTTACACAAAAATTTTGTACTACCTATTTTTAACTCCAGGGGTTATTTTATAACTTTTGTGTAAAAAAAAATCCTCCAATAACAACCAATCATGTGTCATACCCAAGACTCTACATAACTTTTATAAATCTACTTAATTCACTTTACTTTTTCGCAATTAAATCTTACGTCCCAATCCTCCTCAATTAGGAAAGTAATAATAATTTTCCCCTATATTTCATTTTCCCATCCCGCCAATAGCAAACCTTTCCTGCTGCCACCAAAATAATTAAATAAGATTCAAGTATGTAAAAACTAAACCACCAACTTTCATCTCACACGGCTCCTAAGTGATAAAGGAAAGAAGATGAGTTCTTCTTTCTTTTGTGATTACCTTCCTCGTGTATGTATAAGACCGAACTATGAATCTCATGGAGGGTTCGAGATTGGCTCAAGATGAACGCTGGTGGCATGCTTAACACATGCAAGTCGGATGGGAAGTGGTGTTTCCAGTGGCGGACGGGTGAGTAACGCGTAAGAACCTACCCTTAGGAAGGGAGCAACAGCTAGAAACGACTGCTAATACCCTGTAGGCTGAGGAGCAAAAGTAGGATTCCAAGTTTTATATCAACAATTATATATAAAAAAAGTAATTAAAATATATATCTAATCTTTAGCTAACTAGTACATATTTATTTCATTTGAATAGAATGTAAAAAGATAAAAAAATTTAAAAAAACCCTAAAATCTACAGTGATGATTGCAGAAAATAAGATCAAACGAAAGTGATAAATCAAACTATGTTTATTAAAAAATAATAATAATAAAATAAAAAATGGTCCAACAGTTCTTACCTTGCTATCAATTGCAGATTTTTCTCTATGGCGCTTTAGAAAAGTGGAAAACAAAGAGGCGTAAAGGAATGAGAGAGAAGAAAGATAATCACGGGTGGAAAAGGGGGAGGAGAGAGAAAATATGCTGACGTGGCAGTGTAAAAGGGCTGTGTAAAATACACAACCCTTTTACACATTAGTGATGTGGCAGTGTATCTTAACAGATTGCTGGAGATGAAAAAAAATTACAAATCATATGTGACTATATATTTTACACAAAAGGATTTTTTAACATACCGCTAGAATGCTCTTAGTCCTCATTAGTGAGGAATTACACTATTCTCACCACTTATGTGGTCCAATGGAAAGAAAACACGTCTTCTTTTATTAAAAAAGTCAGAAAAATAAAATAAATCAGATCATACCCGAATGAGATCGGGTAAAGTTAAAAGAAGTCAGAAAAATAAAATAAATTAGATCATACCCGAATGAGATCGGGTAAAGTGGGTTGAGTTATTCGTCGCTCTCTGATTCTCTCTCTTTAGAGCATGGCCTTCAGCCCTCTCTTTCCACCATCTTTTTCCTCAAGGTTCTAGTCCTGAACATCATCATTCAATTAGCAAAAATATTAATTTGAAAAAGGTATGACTTATTTATTTATTTTTTATTATTATTATTTTTTCACATATCGTAATTCATTTACATAACTAAAAAGAGCGGCCGCGCCCGGGCGTGGGGGGGAAGGGGGGGGGGGGGGTGTGTGTGGGGGAAGGTTTTTGAGTTTTGTGTTAATATATATGTGGATCCTTAAATCTAGCACATAATCTTTCATGGAAAGCCCCCTTCTAGAAAAAAAACTCTAAATGTATGAAAAAATAATAATAATAATAACAGATCATATCTCCTTCAAATATTCTTGCCAATTGAATGATGATGTCCAAGATGAAAAGCTTGAGAGGAAGATGGTGGAGAGAGATGGCTTAAGGCAGTGCTGGAAAGAGAGAACCAGAGAGCAACCTTGAACTCCATTGAAAAAAAAAAAAAAATATTACTAATACCCACTTTACCTGATCTCATTCAGATAGATCCGATTTATTTTAATTTTTTGACATTTTTTTAATAAAAGATAACGTTTGTTTGTTTGTTTGTTTTTTTTTTTTTTTTCATCATTAGACCACATACACGGTGAGAATAATGTAAATCCTCACTAGTGAGGACTTAGAGTAAGTTGGGGAGGACATTTAGAAGTTTATGAGAAATAGGACAATACTTAGGTTCTCATCTACACTATTCTCACCACTTATGTGGTTCAGTAAAAACAAAAAATAAAAAAAATAAAACGTCCTCTTTTATTAAAGAGGTCAGAAAAATAAAATAAATCGGATGATACTCGAATGAGATCAAGTAACATGGGTAACTAATTTTTTTAACCCAATTTCATTCAGGTAGATACGATTTATTTTATTTTTCCAACCTGTTTAATAAAAGAGAATATATTTTCTTTTCATTGGATTACATAAGTGGTGAGAATAATGTAAAATCAGCCCTGTAATGGGGCTACAACAAAGGATACGGATCATTAGTAACATAATATTTGAAGTAGCAAATCACAAATATAGTGAATCATTATATTTTATTTTATTTATTTTTAAATTCCACAAAGATATTACAGATTATAAATGGCTTGTGTTAAATGAGCCTAGTGACGTTCATGAATATAAGTATTTCTATAGAAGCTTGGTGTTCATGATCTTACATGAATTAGTCTAGCCTAACTATGTTCAGAAGTAACTTTTTTACTCAACTATTAAATCAAACTATTTATGAGCAATTTACGGTCCTAGTGAGATTTGTATTTCATAGTCCTACAATCAGGGTCTAATTTGCATGCAATGGTTGTCTACAAGACGATTATAAATAAATTTGATATTCTTCCCTTATTTTATTGAATAGTACAACCTTAAAAAAAAGAAAAAATTATCAACTCCTATAGATTTTATTTCAGGACCCATAAGTTACGCTTTTGAATTTTTTATTTATTTTTACCATTTAAGTTTTAAATCACTAAATCTGTTCAATTATAGCCTTGCTAAATAGAAGTAAACTTTGTGTATTAAAAAATTATATACGTAAGAAGGGAAAATGAAATTTGTTTTATATAAATTAATTTTTCTATATATTATCCTTCTTTTATTTAAATTTTATAAACAAGTCACTAACATGTTATCCTTCTTTTTATTTAATGTTGTAAGAATTTAAATGTAGGAAAATGATTTTTAGAGTTTTGAATTTGGATTAGTGGGGGCATGGGCCGCATTAGTGCGATTGTAGACAATTTATATCAACGTGATGAGAAAGTATTGGCCATTAGACTTCAAGACATTTAATATATTTATTTTTAATTTTTTTTTTTAATTTTTTTTTTTTTTTCTTATAGCAAGTTTATCAATTAGGAGTGCGATTCTCATATCGTGTTATAGTTACGGCAGCCGTTCACCGAGACTTTGATCGCCGACTCCTCCGTCATTAGGTCACCAGCTTTGTTGACCTTTCGGCACTAGACAAGGGTCAAGCCTCATACACGGTCTTACGACTTTGCAAGAGACCTATGCTTTTAGTAAACAAAGTCGTCCAGGCCTGGTCATTGCGACACTCTTTTGTGGAGGGGCACCCCTTCTTTCAAAATTAAGATTAAGAATTTATCTTTGGAATCACTGTCAACAAAGCTATGTCCTTAGAGACTATATTTATTCTCAATTTAACTGTCAAAAAAAAGAATAAAGTAATTTTTTAAGTTGAATATAACACACTCTCCCCTACCGACATATTATATCCTATAACTAATAAATCGCTTACCTCCGTTCATCTTGGGCGCAAGATTGGTCGACCACTTTAAAGCACTCATGGATACAGAATTAAGACTAATAATTCTCATAAACTTCTAAGTATCTTCCCCCACTTACTCTAATAATGCCAATGGTGGGACATGCTTTCCATGACCAACACTAACTCCATATCGGTCCCATTTTCGGGTCAAAATATCATAAATAATAGCCCACGACACATGCATAGATTGCCACAAGCAATGACAATTATTAACTGATTTACTTTTATTTTTTATATTTTTTCACAATTGATTTTCATTGACCTACCTTTAGATTTGTTATAATTACATAAACAAAATTATAATAACTATTTCATTTTACTCATAAAATGATGATGCACTTCTTAATATAGTAAAACAATTTTATAACTTAATTAATACCAATGTGTACATCACAACTTATGCCTCAACTTTTTAATAATACTCCACTGAAGAATCACAATTATCATCACCCAAGCCAATGTCTCGGAAAGAGACTGGTCGGGGAGTGTAAGGAGGGGTTGTGCATCTCAGCAGTGCCCAATTGACTCCGTTGAAGAAAGGGTGGCGCTTGATCGCCGTGGCACCCATTATGGATCCCATTCGCTTCGTTGGATCCTTGACCAAGAGTTGACCGATCAAATCTCTAGCGGGACCTGCCACGGGTGGGTCCTTGGGAAATTCAAGGGCCCGAGCCACAATGTTGGCTAGGGTTAGCTCATTGTCGATTCCCTTGAATGGTGTCACACCATAAAACAATTCGAAAAGAAAGATTCCTAAGGTCCACCAGTCCACTGCATTGCCATGTCCTTCGTTCGAAACAATCTCCGGAGCCAAATATTCGAACGTCCCCACAAATGACATCGATCGAGCGTCAATAGGCTCCAATACTATCTCGAGGGCCCCGCGATGGCCGAGCCTCCTCCGACGCTTACGTTTTGGGTGAAAGCACGAAACAGCTGGCACAATACAATTCGGGATGATGCATGATGATGTGGCAGGTGGAGCTTGGTCATTAGGGTAGTCATTAGATGGACTTCTAACAAGCGGGTATTGATCAAAAACAACCTGAGCCAATGATGTAGAACTGTCACATTTTAGTGAGAGATCAAAATCCGTCAACATTATGTGACCGTCTGATCTTACAAGCACATTTTCGGGCTTCAAATCACGGTAGATTATTCCCATCATGTGAAGGTATTCTAGAGCAGCTACCACTTCTGATGCATAGAACCTGTCACACCCAACACAAACTCTTTCAATAATCTATATAGTGCAAGCATATCTTATTTAAGCGTTACTGATTGCTAAATCAATGGTGATTAGTCTGAGAACTTGCCCAAATTTTTAAGTTGACTTTTATAATTAAAGTGTCAAATTACCCAAATTGCCCTTATTCGTGAAGAGGTAATTGTTCAAATGTATATGATATACATAAAAACAAAGCTAGACTGATTCATATCTGGGCCATAGAACCAGATCAATGGACCCCACAAAATGAACAAAATTGATCATGCGGTGGACCCGCATATGATTATGCCTCACTTTCATTATGAAGGGCCTAGTTGATATTGTATCACATTACCCGGCGTGTATACATTCAATCACGCATGAAAAGGTAAGGTAAGGTAATGTTATTTCTAGAAAAGAGAAAATCATGCAAATTAACACGTATAAATACTCACCGGACAGTAGGTTCATCAAACCTTCTTTCCGGCTGCCGTTGCCGGAGAACGTGGAGGTCCCCGCCTGGACAGAACTCAGTCAACAAGCAAGACCACCTAGGAGAGTCCAACGTGGCATAAAGTGTGGGCAAAAATGGGTGGTCCAACAAATCCAATATTTCCCTCTCTATCCTCGCCCTACCTTCCTTTTTCCTACTAACCAATTCATTCTTATCCATCACCTTAGCTGCAAACACGCACCCCACGGCGCCTTTTAGCTCCACCAGGTACACGCTGCCGATGTCGCCGCTCCCGAGCCGCTGGAGGAACCTTAGGTCCCGGATGCCGGGCGTGGTGGTCCCGGACTGGACGTGGCGGAGCGCGTCCCATCGTGGGTCACTAGAGGGTGTGTGGGGCTTGGTGGAGGAGCCGAGGCTCGAGGCGGCCCACGTGGTGGTTTCGGACCCCGAACTCGCCTCGGTGTCAACACCAGTGGTGGTGGTGGTGGTGGTGGTGGATGATTCGAAGCTGAGGCCCTCGAGGTCATCAGCTATATCATCTACGCATTGTTGCATAATTATGAGACGGCGGTGGTGGTGGTGAGGAGGAGGGGGAGCAGATTTTCTAGTGAGAGAAAGTGTGAGAGTAGGTGTGGAATGGGAGAAAGTGGGAGGAGTAGAGGTTTTGAAGGGTGGAGTTTGGGTTTGGGACGGCAAAATGGGGCGGGGTCATATGGCCGGCACTTGGTATGGTGTCTGGGCCCATTAATGGCCCAAAAACGAGATTTGTATATCTAGGGTTGAATTTTCTGCCTCTTCTTTTTATAGGCTTTGTTTGATTATTGTTAAGATGGTGGTGGGGTGCTGCTAAATTATTAAATGCAATATATCTAGATTTTTTTATTTTTAATCAATAAGGTTAATTTCAGTCTGAATAATACTGTCAATAGATTGTCCTATTGACGACCAACGTGAGCTTTCTATATTAGCAAACCAAATATTCGAGATTTGATAATATGAGAAATTATCCAAAATCCTAGTAAGCTTTTCACTTCTATATATTTACTAATAAAATGATAAAAATAACTCTTTACTAAATTATTACCTCAACGTCTTCTCTTTTTTCTTTTGTAGCTCTCCCATCCTTATCTTATCTGACTCATTTGCCTATCAAAACTAAGTAAGAAAATATCGGAATTTCTCATCTTTTTGTAAACTTCAATGAAATTGAAAGCGCTGCTATAAATTCTCATTGCATCTCTATTATAGTAGATAAATAAATACAAACAAAAAGCAAATCAAATAGATGAAGGCGAATATTTGTAAAAATGTTAGAATCTAACATTTTTCAACTAAAAGAACAATGACGGTATATTGATTGAACCCATATGAGCAAAGGTTTAATTGAATTTTTTATTTAAAAAAAAAAAATCAATTAATGGCAAAACTAAAAAATTCTTGGCATTGTTCATCTTATTGTGAACCTTGAATTCACAACTTATAGTGAAATTGAGAAACAAAGTTGACGGCGAAGCTTCAAAATTTTTTAAAATTATTGAATTTGAATTCTAATTGATCTCTCTTCCAAGTATTTCAGATTGTATACATGTTCATAGAATGTACCACAATTACATGCCTATATACTTTTTATATATTTGGTTAAAGTTTCAGAGTTTCCAAGTTTGACTCTTAAGTGATCTCTTCCTTCTAGTATTTAGATGGTATGCTCATATGATATACCATAATTATACATAATATATTTCTTTTTATATATTTAGAATCTGGAGAGAATCGAGAAAAAATAAGATGTTTTTGGATAGTTTAAGATTATTTTTGTCATTTTACTTTTAAATATATAGAAGTAAAATACTCATTGTTATTAAAATACTCATTGTTATCGGAGATTATGGGACAATTTGTGATTTATTGGGTTCACATGATCAAAATAATTTTATCCCAATTCTATTGGTTAATAAAGAAAGTCTCATTGTAATTTTGCAACCATATCTAATTTAGATAAAAAATAATAATAATTAGGGTCTTTTTTGGTTGATTGATCAAAAAGTTGAATTGACTTCAATTCAAGGAGCTGTATTTGTCCACATTTACTAATTTTTTTTTTTTTTTTTTTTTTTTTTTTCACTTTATCTCACTCATTTCTATAACTTTTACTTTCTATTATTGAGTGGACTAAGCAAACCATTTCGGACTATATAACCCTATTATTCACAGTAGCAAATTTTGAGAATATCATGTTTTGAGACAATTATATAACATCTTTACACACCAAAAAAAAAAAAAAAAAAAAAAAAAATTACAAATATGTGTGTATTTATATGTTATGTATGTTTCTTTATCCAGTTTGATACTTCCAAACATAATATTAGTCTGTTTTATTCTTTTCATGAAATTTCATCCAAACTAATAAAAAAAAATTATTTTTTCTTACAAGGCAAAATGTGTTAGAAGTTACGAGAGAGTCGAAATCTGCCATTCTAAATTCACATAAAACACTAACCCATTAGACTATCAAGGCATCTGCAAACTAATAAAAATATAATCTATAAATAAAATACATCTTCAAAATTCGAATACCAAAAATAAAAAAAAGTTATGTCAATCCACCCCATCACAGCAGGGATCATTGCTCAAGTTCTTCTATTGCCAACCTAACAATCCCTTCCATTTTTAATCATACCTCTCAAACCAACAAGTTCCTTTGATTCATAACCTTTTTTTAAGGGTTTGATACTGTTACACACATACATGAATCGGTTAGTTCGGCCGATTTATACTTATATTTGTCTGAATCAATTACACCATAATAATGACTGATACCGCGACTAAAAACCACGATGGAAATATTAATGTTTTTAATTTTGCTTAAAAGCAAATGTTATAAAATAAACCATCAATAAAAGAGAATAGCAACTGTTATGAGAAAGTAACAACCACAAAAGTACATCCAAATAGGGGCAGACTATAGTGTTTCAAAATCTTAAGTTTATTTTCCTTTGGACTTGGACCAAATTTATTAATCAGCTTAATTGTTTCTATCTTACTCGTTAGCTTGCTTGTGTATTGTGCTGTATCTAATTCTAAGATTTATGTCTCACTCATATATGTTGATATAACCAATTGTCTTAAAGTTTGTCTTCTTAGAATGTCACTGGTAGGGAGACTTGGTTTTTTTGTTGACTACTTCATTGTCACATTAATGGTTTCTTAATTTAATGTTACAAAAAAAATTGTTTTAATAGTTGTGAAAAGTGCCTTTTAAAATATTTATGTTGCTAGTTAATTTTATGCTGTCCTAAACAGAATGTTGCCAATTCCTTCTTATTTTGTATTTAAATACTTATTTATATATTGAATAAGGCCTTTTTATTTTAAAGATGACACACTGAACATGCTGAGATGTTTGAATGGGTCAAGAAGAAACTTTTATATAGTATTTCTTTTTAACTACTGTAATATATTGCGCAGCACAGTATATGGATCAGCAAAAGAACATATTCAATCACGTGCCTGCACGTGATTAATAAAATGTGTAAATTATACGTCAATAAAAAAAAGGGGCTAATTCTACCTACACCCCCGACCTTTAATCATATCCCACTAACACCTCCTCTAAATTTCAATATTTTACGCACACCACCTAACCTTTGATTATGTACCAACTTACCCTTTACCGTTAAGCAACTAACGGTGTGAGCTGATGTCAGCATGAGGAAATTTTTGTAAGTCAATTTTACCCTTTTTTTTAGTACTAAAATGACATCTTTAACCTCATTGACTAATGAGGAATTACAAAACTACCCTATACTTAATATAAATGATAATGTAATTTCTTTATATACCAATGCATATATATATACATATATATATACACACACTCTCGGCGACCATGGCTTAGAACACACACACTCTCTCTCTACTTGATGAAAATCTTGAGAAGAGACTACTTTCCAAGCAGTCGACATTCTCAGATCTAGACAAGTAATAAACTAAAATCCATAGAAGCTCATTGTGCAAATCAGGTTCCTCCTTACCAACTCAAATGACATATAACCTTCACCACTGCGTGTTTTTTCTAACTTGGTATGTGGTCAAATAGCCCCTTTTGAGTTTATATTAAAAGATTCTTTTCATGTTGTCACCTTATATTTATTCATGCTCTGTATATCTGAGAGAGAAGCAAGTAAGATAGTTGATTTTTTTTTTTAGGTCACCCAGCTTCGCCGTTTGATTTTCTAAACTCTTGTACCATGCCCTGCTTCTATTTTCTATGACTATTTATTTTCGTGCTCCGTAGATGCATGTTGTTCCACTATTAATAGAACTGTATGTATCACCATGTAAGCATGAATAAATGAAAGAAAGCAGTGTACTCCCTGATTAAACTCTGTTCATTAATTTTGATATGTTTTAGCCCTTTTTTAATTTAATGATCGTATGTCTTTATTTTCTTTTTTCATTTTTTGGCAAGGATAGGCCATCTTTCTTTTTCACTATGGACATAAAAAGCATGTCACAGTCCTCAGATGATTAATTAGTCCTCATCAATTCTGCAGATTGGTATTCCGATTTCACCCCGGTTGATGACTACTCAGCAATTCTGCAGATGTCTTCGTCCATGGCGGATTACGATGACCGGGCGAGGAGCAGTTGATGGTGACGGAGTTGGATCTTCATTCGAAGCTCGAAGGCAGTGATGATCTGGTTATAGTTTGGGCTTGATGTGATTTGGGTTTTTGATGCCGAATTTTTTGGTGTCGTTGATGTTGACCACCGCGGACGAGCAACCGATGAGCTCGACTAGGTGGACGGCGACGATGGTGATGGCCGTCGAGGCTGTAATCCGATCGTGCTGATGGCGACGCGCGGAGGAGGGACGCGAAGGTAGAATGGTGTGTCTGTGTAAAGCTGTGTTTGTTTTTTGCGCAATATGTGTATATTTGTCTATCTATGTTTATAGAATGGTGTTTTTGTCTTTAGTTCCAAAATTTTATAAATATTAATATATAATTGATAGGTAAAATTGTAAAATCACCCTATTTTGTTAGTAAAGTAAACGGTGATCACATAGAGGGGGTGTGCATGGAATATTAAAACTTAGAGGGGGTGTCAGTGGGATATGGTCAAAGATTAGGGGGTGTAGGTGGAATTAACTCATAAAAAAATGTAAGACAGTAATATCGAAAACTACAAAATATCTAGATTTGGGAAGCATATATATTTTTTAAGGCTACCTTAAAAATAATAATAATAATAAAAAATCTAACAGTTGAATCAAGAAAGAAAACATTTATTCAAGCAATATTGTGAAATTATATATATATATATATATATATATAAACTACAAATAAAACCTAGTAAGCAACTACAACAAATAAATAATAGGTCAATTGAAATTAAGAAAAATAAATTCACAAAACTAATTATATATATATATATATATATATATATATATATATATATATATATTGTTGATGCAAAAATCCTCGTGACTTGGAACGACGGTATTTGCCTGCAAAACAAAGGGACGTCGCCTCGAATGGCACCGGTGGGGTGCCAGCCAAGGACCCTCCAACGATTAAGTTAGTACTTGTAATCGTATCACATAACAATTATGTATATCATGTTTAGGGGTTTTTTTCTCGTATCAACGGCTTGGTGCTCTATTTATGGCTGTCGATTGGAATCAAATTGGTCCCGCTGGAGATCTGCTTGTGCGAGATCAGAGGAGATCGTTTGTTGCCAGATTTGTCGGGGATATGATTTACTAATTTGACTTTCTCAAATTGTGTCAAGGTTATCCTCACACTGTTGAATCACGTCGTCATTCATTATCCTGGATAAGAAATGTCATCATTTTTTATTCGATGGAAATCTTTATCTCTGATAACGAAATATGTCGAAGAGGTTTGGCGGCTGGTCAAGGTAGGTTATTTTAACCTATCAGTTGCCCCCCATTCTCACGCTTGCTCGTCTAGCTTTGGAAATGTAATTTTTATTTTTATTTTTTTGCCCCCGGCACTGTTCCCTAGGGAACAGTACTCGCAGGTACTGTTCACTGGAATAGTATTTAAAAAAAAAATTTGCCCCAGGCACTGTTCCCTCGGGAATAGTGCTCGTGGGAATAGTTTTTTTTTTTTTTTTTTTTTTTTTTTTTGCTCTGGGTACTCTTCCCTTAGGTAATTTTTTCCCTTGGGTACTATTTTTGGTACCCTTGGATAATCTTCCATCGGGTACTATTTTTAGTACCTTTGGGTACTCTGCCCCTGGGTACTATTTTTGGTACCCTTGCGCACTCTATCTCTGGGTATTATTTTTAGTACTCTTGGGTATTCTGCCCCTGGGTACTATTTTTGGTACCCTTGGGTACTCTGCCCCTGGATACTATTTTTAGTACCCTTAGGTACTCTGTCACTGGATACTATTTTTGGTGCCCTTGGGTAATCTTCCCATGGGTACTATTTTTAATACTTTTGGGTACTCTTCCCTTGGGCAATATTCCCTTGGGTACTTTTCCATTGGGTAATCTTTCCTTGGTAAGGGAATAAATTGTATGAGCTTCACTCAGGTCGCCACTCATTTAATAAGGTAATTAAATTTTACGAGCTTTACTCAACTCGTCCCTTTAGTAAGGGATTTTTATTTACTATCCCTTATAGTAAGGGGATATTGATTACGGAATTCATTCAGCTCGGGTCCTTGTAGTACAAGACATTTATTTACTATCCCTTATAATACGGGGATATTAATTACGGGATTCATTCAGCCCGGGTCCTTTTAATACATGACACTCATTTACTATCCCTTATAGTACGGAAATATTGATTACGGGATTCATTCAGCCTGGGTCCTTTTAATACAGGACACTCATTTACTATCCCTTATAGTATGGGGATATTGATTACGGGATTCATTCAGCCCGGGTCCTTGTAGTACATGACACTCATTATCATCCCTTATAACCCTTATGGGGGAAAGATGTGTAGTCTGAAGGAGGGTGACCCCTTTAATACGAGAGGTAGTCGTGTCTCTCTAATAAATGAAGGAAGTTTTAATTATATACAACACCGCGATGATAAAACCTACTTCCCTTAATATGTAATTCGACGATTAATATCGTATGATCCACTATTCTGCCCCCGATGATGGGATCTTGGGTGATGACCCATTCTATAGACGTTTATACAGCGGACGGGGTGCTTGGTGTTGCAACAATTTACAGTTGTCTAAAAATATTGGATTGTGTTAGAAATAATTACTGAAAATTAACCTGCTATGGATTATCAATCCAAAATTCTACATAATCTGAAGTCGATATGCAATTCCTGCAAAGGAAGAGAGGTGACGATTGTCGTATGGTAAGTGGAGGCTTACTCAATTATGCAGGCGCAAAAGGTCCAGGCTTTAGCCTTCAATGATCAGGCCTTGGTAGTTGACTGCTGCCAGATATGAGATAGAGTTTGGTCTTAGACGATCAAACCTCAGTAGTGAAGGGACTAAGTATCGCTAGTCCGAAAATACCACATTGGACTGCCTGGGTCGACGGGCCAAATTTTGATTATTGTCGACGTACACTGGGTGACATCACGTAACCTACCGTTTTGCCCCCAATATGATGGACGGGTAATCATGATGTAGAGACCCGTCCTTATATAAGTACATGGAAACCCGTTGTCAACTGATGACTTTGGGATGGTTTCCATGATCGGAAACTTTCGTCTTGCCGTCCGAGCCAAGTCGCGTCAGGATTATTATTTCTTTAGAGAATTAATCGTTCCCACAGACGGTACCAGCTGTTGATGTGAAAATCCCTGTGACTCGAAACGACGGCGTTTATCTGCAAAACAAAGGGACGTCACCTCGAATGGCATCGGTGGGGTGCCAGCCGAGGACCCTCCGACGATCAAGTTAGTCCTTGTAATTGTATCACATAATAATTATGTAATATTCTGTTTAGGGGTTTTTTCTCGTACCTTCTTTAACGGCTTGGTGCCCTATTTACGGCTGTCGATTGGAATCAAATTGGTCCCGCGGGAGATCCGCTTGTGCGAGATCAGAGGAGATCGTTTATTGCCAGATTTGTCGGGGATATGATTTACTCCTTTGACTTTCTTAAATTGTGCCAAGGTTATCCTCACTCTGTTGAATCACGTCGTCATTCATTATTCTGGATAAGAAATGTCATCATTCTTATCCGATAGAAATCTTTATCTCTGATAAAGAAATATGTCGTAGAGGTCTGGCGGTTGGTCAAGGTAGGTTATTTTTCCCTATCAGTTACATATGATGACAAGGTTTAGAAGATTGACGTACCAACCTTGGTACATCAAGCTAGTCGGGTTTCTAGTCTCTCTCCTTTAGCGACCCCTCGGGGGCACTAGACATCCAAGACCAGTGCCTATAATATCCCTAATTTTAATTGTTTAAGTTGCATTTTTAATTGTTTAACTGTTTATTTGCTTGTTATTTGAATTAATTGAATTATTTGTTTAATTGACTTAATGGTAATTATTTGAATTATTTGCATTAATTAAATTGTTGGATTTCAACTGTGTTATTATGCGAATTGATTTATTATAATTGGTTAATTGTGTAAATTAGTTAATGGGATTAATGTAGATTTTTGTTATTATTATTATTTTTTTTCACGTTATAGCCGACTTAGTTTTCTCGTCTTGTATTAGGTCTAGAATTAGGGTAAACTTATGTGCCTATATAATTATGGGTATAAGTTTGGCGATGGTGTTAGAACCCTAAGCACGTACGGGAGGCGGAAGAAGCAGAGGAGTTGTATATAGTAGAAATTGCCGGAGAATTTAGGAACACGACGTTGAGGTTTTGAACCAAATCTCAAAGGCAAGTTCTATTCCTGACTCTCTTTCCCTTTGACTTGCGTTCTTTACATGCCTAACACAATTCCAGGATTAAATAACAGTAAAATTAAAACTGGTTCGCATGTTTTATATGATTAAAACAGTAGGTGTTCGCGATGTGGTATTTGTTTGATTTAAAATCTTCTTTGCATAATTCTTGTTGTAATTGATGTTGTTTATCAAATAATGAATTTTATAATCTCTGATAGGGAAAAATAACCCTAGCCTATCTTGACTTAACGAAAAAGGTAATTAAATATTGACCGGCCACCAGATTTCTCCAACTCTCAGACGATAATATCTCGTTATCAAGGATAACCATTTCTATTAGATAAGAATGATGACAAATCGTATCTAGGATAGGATTTGTCATGGGGTAAGTTCAAATCTTATCAAGGATAAGATTTCCACGAGATAGGCTCCATGGGCAAAGGACGATGAAATTCCCTTATCAAGAATAAGGGAAGTGACTATAAATACAAAGACAACTCGGGAACAAGGTACAAAAAAAAAAAACTCCTACTAAGCGAATTATGATTAAAATTCTCTATCGAGAACCCTTACTAACTTGATCGTCAGAGGGTCAACGACCGGCACCACACCGGTGTTTGACTTAGCCATCCTTGTTTTGCAGGAAACGGTGTCGTACTAGACCGTGGCGAATTTCAACCTCAACAGTTGGCGCCGTCTGTGGGAACGACGATTCCCTTGAATTGATTTATTACTCGTTGGGTATAGACGTTTGCGGTCTGGTATGGTTACTGAAGGAACACCGTCGCAAGGATCTGGTCAAAGGGAAGAGTCGGGTGAAAACCTAGACGTCCCAAATGACCAGACGCGGTTTGCAGCGTTGGAACTACAGGTCCAAACTCTGAATCAGGGTATGGACCAGTTGATACAACAAAATGCAGTACTCCTGCAACACCTTGTTCCACCGATTTAACAGAGCTTGCCACGCCAAGACCTCTCGAATCCAAACAGGGGTAATGGGAATCTGGAAGAGCAGGATACTCATCCTCCCCGACATGAGACCGAAGTAGAACAAAGCCAGGTGGGAAACCGACATAGAGAGGTGATCCACCCCTCTCTTCCACGGAGTTCCTGACCCCATGAAGACACGATTGTCATTGAAAAGACCGAGGAGATTTCCCACGTTGACCTAGAGATGCAGGATCTCAAGGCAAAGATGGAGGGTGTGATGCAGGCCATGAAGGGAAAAGGTATTGCAGCCATAGATGGTTTGGTGCAGAAGACCAATTTGCCGTTCAGCCCCTCGGTTATGAAATGCCCTTTGCCAAGCAAATTTAGAATGCCCACAATTGAGAGTTTCGACGGAACTAAAGATCCCCTTGACCAGTTGGAGACTTTTCAGGCGCTTATGCACCTACACGCGATGCCGGATGAGATCATGTGCAAGGCTTTCCCAACGACTCTCAAAGGATCAGCACGGGTATGGTTCAACAAACTAAAGCCAGGAACCATCGAAACCTTTGAAGAATTGAGTAAGGGCTTTATGGGCCATTTCATTGCTGGCCAGAGGCATAGAAGGCCGACTACCCACCTCCTCATTGTGAAGCAACAGAAGGGAGAGTCACTGCGAGATTATATTAGTCGTTTTAACACGGAGATATTACAGGTGGAGGAAGCGGATGACAAGGTGGCCCTAGCCGCCTTCATAGGAGGACTCCAAACCTCAAGATTCCTCTTCTCCTTATCAGAGGAACCTTCTACCAGTATGGCCGAGTTATTGGTTCGAGCTAAAAGACATATGAATGCTGAAGATGCAATGATTGCGAGAAAGTGAAAAGAAGGGGAGGATAAAAAGTCAGATAAGAAAAGGCCGGCCCTGACGATCAAAGATGAAAAAGAAACCAAGTATAAGAAACCCATGGTCAACCAGAATGAAAGGGCGTCTCGTTATAAGAACGCGGAGATGTATACAAATTACACTCCTTTAAATATGCCAATAGATTAAGTTTTCCTGCAGATCCAGGATGAGCCATATTTGAAATGGCCACCGAAGTTGAAGTCAGATCCTGCAAGGAGACCTCGTGATAAGTATTGCAGGTTCCATAAAGACCATGGGCACGCTACAGAGGATTGCTTCGACCTTAAGGATCAGATTGAGACTCTGATCCGAAGGGGGCACATGCGAAAGTTTATTATGAGGAATGACAGAACCGACATTAACCCACTAAGAGCATGCCGAGACAACCGCCTTCCTGATCAACAACCAATAGGAGAGATCAGGGTCATAGCCGGGGGGTGTGCAGGAGGTGGAGAATCGAGCTCAGCCCGTAAGGCCTATGCTAGGAGAATGCGAAGCTCATCTGGTGTGCAAAGTAGGAGTACAGATTCAACATCCAAAGATGCCTCGTTTAGGTGATTCAATTATTACATTCTCAGATGAAAACATGAAGGATGTGCAGCAACCTCATGACGACTCTTTTGTCGTCACCATGATGATCGCTAACTATAATACTCGGCGAATCTTGGTAGATAATGGAAGTTCAACTGATATCATTTTTCTTGATGCATTCAGCAAGATGAAGATTGGTAAGGAGAAACTCAGACCTACTAGATCACCATTGGTGGGATTCACGGGAGACAAGGTCTATCCTCTAGGAGCGGTCATCCTTCCTGTCACTGCAGGAACCAGCCCAAAACAAGTCACTGTCATGGTAAACTTCCTGGTGGTGGATTGTCCATCTGCTTACAATGTCATCCTAGGAAGAGCGACCTTAAATTCAATGAGGGCCATCACTTCGACTCATCACTTATTAATGCGCTTCATTACCGAGCATGGCGTAGGCAAACTAAGAGGAGATCAGTCCATTGCCAAAGAATGCTATGTTGCCTCTCTCAAAGAAAAGAGGCAGCAGGAGGCTTTGATTGTCGATGACGTTGAAGAGAAAGAGCAAGACTGGGCTAAGCCAATCGAGGACTTGGTGGAGATATGCTTGAATGACACTGACATAACAAAAAAGGTGAGGATAGGGTCTTTGCTCCCCTCAGATTTCACAAATATTCTTATACAGTTCCTCAGACAGAATCAAGATGTATTTGCTTGGTCACATGAAGACATGCCCGGTATTAATCCAACTACGATTGAGCATCGATTAAATATAGATCCTACATTCAAACCTATCAGGCAAAAACGAAGAACATTTGCAGCGGAAAGGAACATGGCTATATCAGAAGAGGTGAATAAGCTTATGAAAGCTGATTTCATCCAAGAGGTTCATTATCCCGACTGGTTGGCCAATGTTGTTTTGGTAAAAAAGGCCAATGGAAAATGGAGGTTGTGCGTAGACTTTACCGATTTAAATAAGGCGTGCCCCAAAGACAGTTTCCCTCTGCCAAGAATTAATATGTTGGTAAAAGGGACAGCTGGCCATGAGCTGCTCAGTTTTATGGATGCATACTCAGGGTATAACCAAATCCCAATGCACACACCAGATAGAGATAAGACCTCTTTCATCACGGACAGAGGTTTATATTGCTATAAGGTGATGCCTTTTGGGCTAAAAAATGCTGGTGCCACATATCAGCGGCTAGTAAACCTAATGTTTAAGGACCAAATCAGAAGGAATATGGAAGTGTATGTGGATGACATGCTCGTGAAAAGCTTGAAAGCTCAAGACCATCTGGTTGATCTACAGGAAACGTTCCATGTCCTCAGGAAACACCAGATGAAGCTCAACCCAAGTAAATGTGCCTTCGGAGTCTCCTCTGGGAAATTACTAGGTTACATGGTAAGTAGAAGAGGGATAGAAGCTAACCCTGAGAAGGTTCAGGCGATTCTCAACATGCAGTCTCTAGCATCGACCAAGGAACTTCAAAGATTGATAGGAAGGATCGCAGCTCTGAACAAGTTGATTTCCAAGGCGACCGATAGGTGTTTGCCTTTTTTCCGTGTGCTTTGGAAAGCTTTTTCATGTACCCCTGAGTGCGAGCAAGCTTTTACAGAGCTAAATGAGTATCTCACTTCACCACTATTATTGTGGCGGCCGATATAAGGAGAACAGTTGTATTTGTACTTGGAGGTTTCTCCGTCGGCAGTAAGCTCAGCCTTGGTCCGCGAAGAGAATGGAAACCAGAAACCGGTATATTATACTAGCCGTGCATTCAGGGGGGCGGAAGAAAGGTACCCAAGGATAGAAAAGTTGGCATTTGCTCTAGTTATCTCTACGAGGAAACTCAGGCCTTACTTCCAAGCTCATACAATAATAGTATTGACGGACCAACCACTTAGGCAGGTTCTCCGCAAACCTGATACTTCAGGGCGACTCATGAAGTGGTCGGTAGAACTTGGAGAGTTTGATATCCAATACAAACCCCGAACGGCCTTAAAAGCCCAGGTACTGGCAGATGTTATAGCGGAATTCACACCAGAAGATAGGCCCGAGCATGCTGCAAATGAGCAGGAAGAAGTCGAATCTACTTGGACGTTATATGTGGATGGGTCCGTCAACGCCCGTGCAAGTGGGGCAGGGCTAGTAATTATCTCCCCAAATGGGGAATGCATCAAATATGCACTCAGGTTTGGTTTTAAAGCAACCAACAATGAGGCAGAGTATGAAGCCCTCTTAGCAGGCCTCAGGATGGTGAAAGCTTTGGAAGTTGAACGACTAATAGCATATACTGATTCTCAACTAATAACTGGACAAGTCCAGGGGGAATATGAAGCCAAGGATGAGAAGATGAAGACCTATTTACATAAGATAAAGGATATCAAGGGTTTTTTTAAGAAGTTTTCTATTCACAGGATTCCTCGAGAAGAGAATGCGCAAGCAGATGCCCTAGCTTGACTGGCAACCACAGAGGAAGATAAAGCCATACCCGTGGGATATTTGGATGAGCCTAGCACGGTCGGGGATTGGCCACAGAAAATACACCAGGTAGCACACGGCATGGAGTAGGCAGAACCCATTATTAGGTACATTGAGAACGAAGAGCTACCCCAGGACTGCATGGAAGCACGAAAGATCAGGATGCGTGCGGCAAAATATTCCCTCATTGATGGGGTTCTCTACAAGAAGGGATTTTCTCTACCCTACTTGCATTGTGTCTCCATTGATGAGGCAAATTACATTCTAAAAGACATACATGAAGGCCTTTGTGGAAATCATGCTGGGGGCAGATCACTAGCGCATAATGTTATCCGACAAGGATACTTTTGGCCTACTATGAGGACAGATGCACTTGAGTTTGTGAAGAAATGTGACAAGTGTCAGAGATTCACCAATGTCCCAAAACAACCAGCAGAAAAGTTAACCCCTCTTACAGGGCCATAGCCTTTTGCCCAATGGGGGATGGACCTCATCGGCCCCTTACCCCAAGGAAAGGGACAAACTAAATACGCAATTGTGGCTATCGATTATTTCACCAAATGGGTAGAAGCTAAGCCATTAGCTCATATTGGAGCGAATGAAGTAAAAATTTTTTTCTGGAAGATAATAATCTGCAGGTTCAGAGCACCAAGGGTAATTGTGACCGATAATGGGAAACATTTTGAAAGTGAGCAGTTCCTTGATTTTTGTAATGAACTTGGGATCAAAGTTCATTTCTCCTTTCCTGCCCATCCCCAAGCTAATGGGTAAGTTAAGGTCATGAATAGGACAATATTGAAGATGATCAAGACACGCCTAGAAAAGGCCAAGGGCTTGTGGCCTGAACAACTACCCGGAGTTTTATGGGCCTATTGCATTACTGTAAGAACCCCCACTGGGGAGACCCCTTTTGGGTTAGCTTTTGGAAGTGAAGCTGTGATCCCGGTAGAAACAAAGGTTGCTACTTTCAGAACCAAGTATTTTGAACCTCAGCAGAACAGGGTGGAACTACGATTAAACCTAAACCTGGTAGAAGAGAAAAGGGAGCAGGCCCAGGTTAGGGTTGCAGCTTACCAGCGGATGATATCCAAGTACTACAATGCCCGGGTCAAGCCAAGGAGGTTCGTGCCAGGAGACCTGGTGCTTCGCGAGGTTACCCCGGCTACTAAGGAAAAGGGGGAAGGAAAGTTAGCTCCCAATTGGGAGGGCCCATATCGAGTAACCCAGAGCAACAGACCGGGGGCATACTGGTTAGAGTCATTTGGTGGGAGCTAGCTTCCCCACCCGTAGAATGCAGAACATTTGAGGAAATATTACCAGTAGGTACTCATGCCAGGCTGTGTTTTATTTTATTATCTCACTTTTAAAAGTGATAGAATCTTTTTAACTTCAATAAAGCAGACCAGTGTGTAACGGATGCTAATACTCGACTATCGATTATTATTTTCAATAGGTCTTTAATAAAATGGTTATTCGTATTTATTGCACGTGTTTCTACTGAATTTTATAAGTCACACAAGGACTAGTGACACATTAAGTCCACTTCTTTATTAACAGAAATAAGTGACTTTCCTTTACTAAAGGGACGAGCTAGGTGAAGCTCGTAAAAATACGTTCCTTCGGAAGAAGGACGGGCTGAGTGAAGCCTGGAAAAGTAAAATGAGTTCTGCATAAGGAAACAACAAGTATGAAACAATACCATGAAAGACAAAAGTAGAGCAACTATTCTCTGGATTCAGAGATATTCTGAAAAGTTCTAAATGAACAACATACTGAGAAATCAAAAAACCTAATATATATATATATATATGACTACTACTATGGAATTCAATCTTTCTCTTCGCTCTCACTTAGAATGTCATACATAGAAAAGTCTATGTCTGGACGATCTTTGCCGACAAGAGCTTTGAACTGGTCAAAACCATCACAGCAAGCCTTGCCTATGAGCACCTTGAATTCATCAGAATTTATAAAACTCTCCACGGCAGCTAGCTTCTCGAGTTCCAGCTTATCAGAGTATTCTCTGGTAAGTTTCACTTTCTCATCTTGAAAGTTTAATTCTGCATTAGTCAAGTCATCTTCTTTTATTTTGAGTGTAGAAGTAACATCTTCATATTTAGCCTTGAGGGAAGCCATCTCTAGGGAAAGCTTCTCGTATTCTTTGGCGATAACAATAGAGTATGTAGTGCCCTATAAATAAATAAATAGTGGCGAACAGTTAAAATAAATAAATAAATAAAAGAAAAATAGATGCACATAATAAGGGAAAAATCTCACCTGGCTGATTAGATGAAGAAATTTCTTTGAAAGCTCAGATGCTGGCAAACTCTGCAATCTGGCAGTGTCATCTTTTACTACCATTTTATGTAACCTGTCATTCGCGTCATCGAGAGCCGATTCCCCGTGGGAAAAGGCTTGGTTGGTTGATACCGAACCAAAACTTTCGAAACTCGTAGGAACCTCACCAAATCCGCTGAAACCTAGAGGTACAGGAGTAGGACCTAATAACACTTCAGGGCTTGCGTATGTACCATGATTCCCTTCTCCTACCCTT